TAAATTATAAATTTAATGGGGAAACGAAATAAATAGTTAAGGTTTACATTCCTTACACAATAACTAAAATTGCCAAATAGGGCTTACGAGAATAACTCTACTAAAAAAATAACTAATAACCAGAGAAATAAATTAAAAGTAAACAAACTGAACGTCATACTCGCAACCCTCTTGTGGATCGGGCTCTGGATCTTGGTCCTCTTAATCTGAAATAGTTAACGAAAGAGTGAACTACACTAACCTAGTAAAAATATCACACTATTCATCGACACAGAAATGAATGTTGGTATAAATCATAAAAATAACTAATGGAGTTCTTAATTAAGCAAATTCGTTTATCATAAATAAAATAATTTACTACCTACTTATCATAACGAGATTTACAAAAATAACCTATATAATCAATAACATAACACATATCATAATTTTATACGCAATCGGTTGGAATAATAATTTTTTCTTTTATCAGCCTATGGAGATCCATAAAAATGTCCCCACTACGCGTAAATTTTTTTTTTTTAATATTTTCAATTAACGGGTCGTCCCCATACCATGTCCAGTATAAGCGCCAAATTACTAAATCTCGATACCCCATCTGGTATGAGACAACGTTCACGGTAGAGTTCCCAATATACCCAACCCGTCCACAATTTCTTAGGATATTCAGCAAGATTGTCGTTTCATCTATGGACTTAATCAAATAATTTTTTGTTTACCTTTAATTTTCAGTTTTTCAATTCAACCGTACTCCCATAAAACAAACAAAGCATGCATTAAAGGAATACAATTGTATCCCAGTTTTTCCATTTAACTCTAATTCCATAAGGCAAGCAATATATGCATTCAAACTATAAAATCAATCAATCAGGTATTATCATGCATTCAAACTGTAAAATAAATTAACAAAATCAACAGTGAATAACTTCTGGTTCTGGCTCCATTAGTAACCTGTAATTAATTACGGATATTTTTTAAATTACACAAAATACTGTATTATTATTAATTAGACTTCAATTTCATAACCGAGAATAAGGTGATGGATTCTTATTCAAATTGATATCCGAAATGGAAAACCTTTGACTGAGCCTACTGGCGGTCTCCAAGTTTCTTGAATTTTTCTTTAGAGATTAAAACACGCTTTAAATACCTAAAAATATCCCCCCCAAAAAACCCAAAATCAGTGTTAGGAACCCTTTTTGCCCAATTCTGAAACTCTGGCACGGCGGCTCCGTCGTGCTTCGGCGGGCGGCGGCTTACCTTCGGTCGACTTTTTCGGCCAGTTTTGTATCAATTTCTGTGAGAAAACACGTTAAGGGGCCTTGGTTAGCTGAACAAAATCGAAAAATTAAAACTTACCGGCGGCAGGGTTCTCCAGTTCGCCAGCTCACCTTCGCGGCTGGGTGTTTTGTTTCGGTCAACATGTAGATAAGGAAACGATGATTAAAATGGTGAAAGAATTACGCATAACGAGAATCGAGAAGGGCTTCATTGGATGCATTTTTTGTATTTTTTCGCGGCAGTGCTGCTGGATTTTACCCGCAGTTTTCAGATAATCTGCCTATCTTTTTACTCCAATTTGGCCATGGGGGTGTTTAAAATCGAAGTTCGAGCAAAGATACCTCTTTTGGCAGTCGTAAGTGGCTCCGGCGCGGCGGCGTGCGGCGGACGACTTCCTTCCCAGCAGCTGGCTCTTCTTTTCCAGCGGGGGGTGTCTGCAGCTAGGGTTAGGGTTTGGTGTAAAGAAGGTTATTTATATTCATTCTTTTTTAATCTGGAGAGTCTATCGTGTTTGATTTGGACCATCCGATCGCGATTAAATAGGCAATGAATTTGGATCGTTCATCATGATTTGATCTGGGCTGTCCGATCGCGTTTAAATAGGAAGTGGATCTAAACTGTTCATTGTATTTAAATCTGACCGTCCGATTGCATCTGGGGAGGGAACGGATCCGAATCGTCTGTGCGCGCGAGAACGAATCTGGATCGTCCGATCGCAGATAAATGGATCGCCCGCGTGGCACCTCGTCAGCGTCTCTTACCATGCGGTACACTTCGGTTCGTCGGAGCCATTGACTGGGCGTTCTGCGTGACAATTTTTTTAAATTGCGTTTTGACTCCCAGTTTCTGAATTTTCTTTTAAAAATACCTCTATAATCTAAAATTTCACCCATTTTTTTCAAAATTATTTTCAATTTCATCATCCATTTAATTTTCTCCATTTTTACATTAAATAATAACAAGAAAAAAATAAAATTTAAATTATATATATTAATTTGAATATTACAAATTAAATTCCGGTTATTACACTTTGGCAAAAAAATTGAAATTGAAACTCTCTTAATCTAAAAACTAATAGCATGACATGAATAGATTTTATGATCCATAATTAATCATTTATAAAGACCATATATGGTAAAAACAAAAAAGAAATATAAAATTAAATAATATTCATCATATTAATTTGTATCATTACAATGTTGTCCTTTAATGTAAAAAATTAAGAAAATTAATAATTGAAAAAAGTTAAACATACAATTTAATGAATTTATGGAACCCATATTTTGTGACACGAGTCCATTTCATCTATTTTAATTTTAACAAATATTTAAGTAAATTATTTGAACTTAATTAAAAAAAAAAATAAGTATTAATTAAAATAAAATATAATTTAAAATAATATTCAAAACATAAAGATACTCAATAATATATATAAATAAAATTATAAAAAAATGATATATATTAATCAATATTTCATTAATTTCAGTAGAATAAAAAATAAATAAAAATTTATTAATCATATATATATATATGTATGAATAATATTTTAAAACAACAAAATTAATCAAAACTCAATTAATGTGAATATAATTAAGAATTTATCAATTGGGACGGAGAATGGAATAAATATATAATTTAATTTATACCTACTCTATATCTGCTTTAAATTTTTCATTTTTCAATAATTCACTAGTCATAGGTTTTTAACTATTCCACTGAAGGGGGATTGGAATTGCCATTCTGTGAACCTAACCTATGAGCTTGTCCGAGCCCAAACCCATTCGGCCATTCTATTGCAAAACGCAAAATCAAAGCCCAAGCCGACCCAACGTCTCCTCAAAACCGAAAACGTAACAATTGTATTTTCCTTTTTCGGTTTCTCTCCTTCAGTCCAACCCACGAACGACGGATTAGGAAACTGGCTTGGTTTCCTTTTCCGAATGCTTCCCTCTCACTCTTTTATTTATTTATTTATTTTTCGTGATTGTTAGAGAAAACAAGAGCTTATAAATTTGAATTTGTATACCAAATTTGCACGTGCGACGGTGCCGTTTTTTCCCAGTCAAAATCAAATGAAGCAAAGTATGAGATAAAAAGCGAAAAGAAAGTAGATAACCAAGAGGAGCCGGATTATTGTTGTGAACTGTGATAGCAATGGAGCAGAACAGAGACAAAGAGAACGTAACCCATCGGTTGCTGGCAGCGAAAAAGAAATCCGGCAAGTCATATAATCAGATAGCGGAAGAAACTGGCCTTACCAACGTCTACGTCGCTCAGCTCCTCCGCCGTCAGGCCCAACTAAAGCCCGAAACTGCCGCCAAGCTTCGCGCAGCCTTGCCCGATCTTCCGGAAGAGCTTCTTGACGAGATGATGATACCACCCATGAGGTCTTATAACCCCAACTTGATCCAAGAACCCACTGTTTACAGGTTTCGCTTTCTTCTTCTATATCTTCCTTTTAATGAAACAATTAAATAGGTGTGATGATTAATATCTTGTTTGTTTCTGATTTTGTAGGTTGAATGAAGCGGTTATGCATTTTGGCGAGAGCATCAAGGAAATTGTCAATGAGGAGTTTGGTGATGGCATGTAAGTTCGTTTTATGCACTTTAATTTTCGGTTTATTTCTCTTTTTATGATAAATTGATCACTGGTGACTGCGCTTTGTTCATATATCCATGCCCTTTTCAAACTCAAGGTTCAAATGTTTGCAATTGGTTGTTTGTTACTTCTTTCAGGAGATGAATACTGCCAGTTTTCATGTTTGATATAATTCTTGATTCATTGCACTTCTTCCCCTTCTAATATTGCTTCAAATACATAGAAATTTTTTTATAATTTTTATTTCCTAAATTTAGGTATGGTTATCCATGAAAATATATGCATATAAGTGTGTTCATGGAATAAAATAAGATGTTTTCATTTCCGAAATTTGTTTATGTTATTCATGAAAATATGTGTTGTATTGTGTTTGTGGAATAAAATAAAGATAATAAACATAAAGATGAGTGTGATACCCCAGTTTCACATGGAAAAAAATATACGATTGTTAAGTTTCATATAAAAGTTAGGTCAGATATTACTAATAACTTGAGTTTAACTTTTTGAGAGAGAGTGTTGTAGCTTCAAAAGATTGTTAAGTTTGTAGTATTTGGGCCTGAGGTGTTGTAAATGGTATCAGAACACATGTCTATTTGGTGAATTTGACTAGTATGATCTTTGACCTTATGGGCATTTGAGTTGTGATTTGTGATTATTTGATGTATGGAGTTTGGTGAGGACATTAAAGATTTGAGTAGCAGAGATTGTGATATTTTAGTCCCATATGAAAAAAATAGGTGATTGTTAAAGTTCATATAAGAGCTCAAATTATATACTACCATTAAATTGACTTTAAGTTTTTGAAGACTGGTGGCTTGAATTCAAAAAGTTGTTAGATTAGTGGTGTTTAGACTGGAGACACTGCAATGAAAAGAATAAAAAGTTGTGTTTAGTACTTTTTATCGAACTGTTTTTCTTTATATTTTTTTCTCTCTACCAACATATACTGTCTTGCATGCTTGCATGAATGAATAAATGTATAAACATAAATAAATTTTGAGAAATGAAAGCTAGAAAATACTTTCATGTACTAAAAGTAGCCCAGTCTTCCTCCTCTTCTCCCCCATTTACGTTCCAAAACTATTAAGAGTAGTCCTTCATTCTTTTTGTTTAGTTATTACTTTTTTATCAGTGTAGTTCTTCATTCTTAGGTTGGAAATTGTAGGTGCCGAATTACCTAAAATGGCCATTATTCTTAGGTGTAGCTTTTCTTGGATCTAAGTGAAGGCTTAACTATTCTCTAATTCTTTGCCTCTCCTGCTGTCCGAAGCCACCTATTATTGGGTGCTGGAGCTCGTATTGAGACTTCCTCACTTTTGAAAATGTGCAGTAAGATTAGCAAACAAAGTCAATTTCCACATTTCAGTTCCTCCTTGGTTTTCCCGGGAAACTTCCAAAAGTAAAGAAGTTAGGAGTTTGGTTTTTACTTTCCTAATTACAGTCTACTTTTCTTCTTCATTAGAAGTTATTAATGATACCATGGTTTTGAAAGAGAGGAAGATAACAGCAATCAAAGAAAAAACAAGTAAGTTGCTGAAATATGATCCAAAAGAATAAATATTGAATGCACTAGCAGAGTTGATGGGTGGAATTACTGGGGTTTAGGCAGCGTTCAACTAGAATATGGTTTATTCTTAAATAAATAATATTTTCATAATTGAAGCAAAAATAAATGTGAAAAATGAAGTTCTCAAACACTAGGCATTGTTAGATTAAGACATCAACCTGAAATCATTTTGACTTCAATTTTAGTATTTTTATCAGGCTTCTTTTTGATCTCTAATACATTTGTTTCTTCTGGTGTGTGTTTAGCATGTCTGCAATAGACTTCTACTGCTCTGTTGACAAAGTGAAAGGCGTGGATGGGAAAGATCGTGTGGTTGTGACATTTGATGGAAAGTATTTACCTTATTCCGAGCAGGTTAGTTGCTTTTGATGTTACAATTTCCGGGATCACTGATGACCTGTGTCAGCCCTCTCTAATTGCTTACTTCCTTTGAGTGTTGATAGAGCAGAAAAGAAGAAAAAACTTGTGTAAATATGTGTTGCTGTTGATATTGATGTTCACTTTCTTTATTGTTTTCCTGATAAGGTAGGCTAGATCTTAGATTGATGCAGCATATATCAATTCTGAAATAATACTCAATTAATGTAGTACTTGAGTTCAACCTATGTAGCATTTTGCCCTTGAAATGTATGAGTTTTCTTTTCCTAGAGTAAGAAATTCAACAGTTTCTAGAAGTTGGAGATCATGAATTTTAGTATGCTCTTTTTTTCTCCCCAACTTCAAATCCCAAGCCTGTGAGAAGGACTGGCCCTGATCCAACTGAATTCTATTTTACATCTTTCCAGCTGATTTGAAGAACTGTTTCTGCATCCTTCTTGTTTTTGTCTTTTGTACTCTGATTAGGTTTGCAGGCACAGAATCCTTAGTCAGTAGTTTTAAACTATCATCTTGATCACAGCTGAGGACAGCAAATCAGCTGATTCTTCATTGTTTTCCCTAAGCTTGGACTGGATCTGCATTGAGGAGGGTCACCAACTTAGCAGGATCCCCTAAAAACAGAGGCCTGTTTTGGCCTCAGTGGAAGGGGTGAAGACGGAATAGTTACAATGATGAATTAGAGCATACCTGGTGATAGGATTTGTTGAGTAGATTCCGTTTTAAATTCCTGAATAAATATGAAGGAGCATTTGTTTTCTTATGCATGCTAAATCATTTAAAATTCTTCTAAAACTAGAAATATGCTTTTGGAATTCCAAATGGGATCTTTTACAAAGGGAACAAACCTATATATGCTTGCTTGATTTTATCAGCCCCTTCATCTTTTCTAAAGATGAGTTGAAAAAAATACTAACTTAACATTCATTTTTTGTGTACTGACAGAAATCAGAGCATATGGTTTCAAGGCTGCACCTTCAGTAATGGAATGCACAAGAGATACTGGTGCTATTGTTTGGTTCTGTATGAATAAACATTACTATTCTATAGATGTAATGTCTGTGCCTGTTGGCTGCATTGTATAAGATAAAACTTATTGTGCTTGGCCTTCGATATTGGGCAATTAGATTATGGCGTCCAAGGAATGATGATTCAGAGACCAGGAATGAAATGCATATTTGTTTGTATGGGAGCTCAAGAAATGACTAATTTTTCTTTTTTTTTTTTTAAAGTCAAGCAAGAGAAAAAGATTATACCATTTCTGAGAAAATATATTTTAAAAAATGTTTTTATCAATATAATGATAATAAAAAAGTTAAAATCTAATTATCATATAGTATACAATGGAGGTATAAATTAATTATTTATCCGAAAATAAATAAGGGCTGAATAGTAAAAAATTTCACTTCAAGGCCAACCCCCAAAAGAGCCCAAAAATATCTCCATCCTTGTGCCAGTTAAATACCCTCTGTATCCCTCAAAACCCTTTCTCCCTATCCCCCCACACCTCATCGTCACTCGTCTCTGTCTAATCTTCATTTCTCTTGTCAGCTGCCATGGCTCTAACCCTAGCTCGCTCGGTGGCAGTTCGCTACCTTTCCTTCTCTCTTCTGCCTAAACGCCTTTTCTCTACCACTGCCACTCTCACCACTCCTCCTCGCCTCCCGTCTGCTTTTCTCTGCCGCCGGTCTCTCCCCGCCTTGTCTCGCGCAGCCCCATCCCTTTTTTCTGCTACCCGTTTCACCGCAATAAGATGCCGGGTCAACCGGTCCGGAAACTCCGCATACTCGCCCTTAAACTCCGGGTCCAACTTCAGCGACCGACCACCCACTGAGATGGCCCCGCTCTTCCCGGGCTGCGATTACGAACACTGGCTCATCGTTATGGACAAGCCCGGAGGCGAGGGTGCCACCAAGCAGCAGATGATCGATTGCTACATCCAAACCCTAGCCAAAGTTGTTGGCAGGTGATTTTATTCTTTGGCCACGTATACTATTTTGTTTCCATTTTTTTGCTGTGTCTGTTGCTTCATGAGGAAATATTTGTTTGTTGTTATGTATGCATATGTTTCGGTGCTTGTATGGATATATGTATTCATACATGGAGTTGTGTGTTCTTGGATACGATACATCTGTCACATTTAATGTTATGTTTCAGTGAAGAGGAAGCAAAAAAGAAGATCTACAATGTCTCATGCGAGAGATATTTTGGATTTGGCTGTGAGATTGACGAGGAGACATCAAATAAGCTAGAAGGTCTGTATTAGTCATTGTTACAATTGTGAGATATTGGCTTTTATTTTCACATATTTTTCTTTGTCTTCATTGGCATTAAATTACAGGCTTGCCTGGCGTTCTCTTTGTGCTTCCGGATTCTTATGTTGATCCTGAATACAAAGACTATGGGGGTAAGCAAAATGACCTGCTTTCTTCACTGTCTTGCTTTTTTACTTTTGCTCCTTTCTCTTTGTTGTAGCAATTTTCTCTAACCCTTCTGATTTCTGGTGCGTTAGCATACCTTGTGGTAAAAGCTATTCAGTTTGAATTTAGGAGGTTGATGTCTTCTTTGTATGGAGTCTTTGTTTAGTGGGCAAATGTCATGTTCATTATTTCCGCCTGCATGTTAACTAAATAATTACCCTTAAAATTGTGAAAATACTCTGCTTACTTGTTATTATTATGTCTACTTAGTGGGATAGGTTGGTTGCATGAACTCATTTTGGACCTAGGTGCATCTTCTTTTATATAAAGTGATTGCATTGATGTCTCTATTACTTCTGCTGCTTCTTGTATTTTAATTGTTCATCCTTCATGTGTTCTCTTTTTCTCTTAAGTCTTTTTTCCATAAAAAGGAGGAAATAAAAAGAGTTTGGAGTAGGCTAACTCCCAAAGAAGTTTCCTCTAAGAAACCATTAAAGAAGATGCGCAGGGTAGTGCCTATTGCTCAAAAACCTAATTATTCCCTTAAACTGTCCATTTCCGAGACTTCTCCAATCTTTAAAAGGTCAATCCTACACATAGCAGAGGGTTGGGAGCAGTGTCCATTGGGTGAGACCTCATGGTCCTCAGTAGTCCATCTTGGCAAAACTAAGAAGCCTTCAGGCAATTTTTAGTTTTGAATGCTAATGGACTTATATTAAATGATAATCTTAACTTTTCTGCACCTGTTATTTGTTAAGCTGTGGCTTAGTTGAGATGAAACATTCCAATTATAAGTATCTGCCTGCCTATGGTTTGGATGCTGCATCGCTCCTTTCTTATAGGCTTTTTCAATTACATGTTATTTTGGGGGAGGAATGGAGGATGTGGTTTAGACTTGAAGGCTTTGTTGGAGCTCTTTTCATCTTCCACAAAAGTGCTGCTTAGTTTGGTTTTTTGGATCAAGATATTGCCGTGTTAGATGTGAACCAAATCACCCTAAAGCCATGTTCTCCATCAACTTGCATAGCAGTATGTCTTTCAGTATGTTATACTGGTTGTTGTCTTTTACATAGTTTAATTTTTCTTTGTTGTTTTTTGTTTCTTGACATAACAACGTTTCTTGTCAAACTTTAAACTTGGCTAAGCTGATAAATTATTAAAGGTAACACTCAAAAAAATGTCTAATGTTGGTTGACCAGTTTTGCCTCTCTTGGCTGTTCTTGTCTCCGTGGCTGTGGAAATGAAACAACACTGGTGTTGTTTTAGTCCATCTTGTCAAATCTATTAGCTTTGAATGCTAATGTACTTGAGATCAAATATTTATCTTTGACTGATCTACTTATTCTGCATTCACCCTTGTTGAAGATACTCCTTTTGGAGAAGCATCTTTATCCATTATTTTTAGCTACTTGGTTTGGAAGGTATATGGAACTGGGCTTCTTTCTGTTATGGTGTATAATGATGTGCACTGATATGGAAAAAATGTAACGCGTGTGTGACAACATGTTGATGGTGACAGTTCTGCTGTGGCTGTTTCCCATCTTTAGTCCATCTTGGCAAAGCTATTAGCCTTGGGGCAATGTCTAGCTTTGAATGCTAATGGACTTGACATCAAATATCTACCTTGATTGATCTGCTTATTTTGTTTTCAATTACTTGTCAATATCCTGATCAATTGAGAAGAAACATTAATAACCAAGACCGTTCATATGCATGGACCTCTATGTTGAAAAAATTCTTTTATTTGAAATTTTTATATTGAAATGCTACTTGAATGGGAGAAAGCTTAAATGCATTTTCATAGTTACTCAATGGGAAGGTATATGTATATGGAACTAGCTTTTCACTGTCCATTATTTTATGTGATTTAGTGCATTGAAAGCTTTGGAAAAAAGAAGTATCATATGTGAAATTATCATGTGATTTTGATGTTTGCGCTGTTTTCATTTCCTAGTCCATCTTGGCAAAGCTACTAGCCTCGAGGCGATGTCTAGCTTTGAATGCTAATGGACTTGACATCAAATATCTACCTTGATTGATCTGCTTATTTTATTTTTAATTACTCGTCAATATCCTGATCAATTGAGAAGAAACATTAATAACCAAGATCGTCCATATGCATGGGCCTCTATGTTGAGAAACTTATTTTATTTGAAATTTTCATATTGAAATGCTACTTGATTGGGAGAAAGCTTAAATGCATTCTTCATAGTTACTCAATGGGAAGATATGTGTATGGAACTAGCTTTTCACTGTCCATTATTTTTTTTTTGAGTTATTTGCATTGAAAGCTTTGGAAAAAAAAGTATCATATGTGAAATTATCATGTGATTTTGATGTTTGCGCTGTTTTCATTTCCTAGTCCATCTTGGCAAAGCTACTAGCCTCGAGGCGATGTCTAGCTTTGAATGCTAATGGACTTGACATCAAATATCTACCTTGATTGATCTCCTTATTTTATTTTTAATTACTCGTCAATATCCTGATCAATTGAGAAGAAACATTAATAACCAAGATCGTCCATATGCATGGGCCTCTATGTTGAGAAACTTATTTTATTTGAAATTTTTATATTGATATGCTACTTGATTGGGAGAAAGCTTAAATGCATTCTTCATAGTTACTCAATGGGAAGATATGTGTATGGAACTAGCTTTTCACTGTCCATTATTTTTTTTTTTTTGAGTTATTTGCATTGAAAGCTTTGGAAAAAAAAGTATCATATGTGAAATTATCATGTGATTTTGATGTTTGCGCTGTTTTCATTTCCTAGTCCATCTTGGCAAAGCTACTAGCCTCGAGGCGATGTCTAGCTTTGAATGCTAATGGACTTGACATCAAATATCTACCTTGATTGATCTCCTTATTTTATTTTTAATTACTTGTCAATATCCTGATCAATTGAGAAGAAACATTAATAACCAAGATCGTCCATATGCATGGGCCTCTATGTTGAGAAACTTATTTTATTTGAAACTTTTATATTGAAATGCTACTTGATTGGGAGAAAGCTTAAATGCTTTCTTCATAGTTACTCGATGGGAAGATATATGTATATGGAACTAGCTTTTCACTGTCCATTATTTTATGTGATTTAGTGCATTGGAAGCTTTGGAAAAAAAAGTATCATATGTGAAATTATCATGTGATTTTGATGTTTGCGCTGTTTTCATTTCCTAGTCCATCTTGGCAAAGCTACTAGCCTCGAGGCGATGTCTAGCTTTGAATGCTAATGGACTTAACATTGAATATCTACTTCAATTATCTGCTTATTCTGCAGTCATCATGTGTGGAGCTGTGGATCAGTTGAGCTGAAACATTAATAACATTGCCATTGATGTGAACCTGTCTGCTATGGTTGAAGATATTACTTTTGATCTGAGCTTTTGTATTAATATGTTATTTGATGATTGGGGGAACCAGGGATGTACACATTTGACATTCTGTGTTAGCCTTGAGTTGGGCTGGGTTAATCTTCCTAACCCCTGCTAAAGTCCTTTCCTTCAATTTTTTTTTTTTTTATGTTGGAGAATGTGGATGGGAAAGTTACAATTGGTTGATATGAATATAGATATTTGATCTACGAAATCACTCGCCTATTGTTTTCCAGAAAAGATACCCATCTGTGTTATTTACTCTGTTTAGAACATACATGGAAATAGATTTTCATCTTGCCCTCGTGTCATGATGATTCAGACCACTGGCAGAATTAGGGAAGTACTTGAAACCTGGTACTGACAAAGTAACCAAGTTGATTTGTGACACCTGCTCTGATTTCATTTCCCAGTCCATCTTGGCAAACCTATCAGCCTTGAGTTGGCATGTCTGGCTTTGAATGCTAATGAACTCAAACGAATTATCTCTATATCTGTACTTGTGCCTTGAGTTGGCATGTCTGGCTTTGAATGCTAATGAACTCAAACGAATTATCTCTATATCTGTACTTGTGCCTTTTGTTGGTATATGAGTGCAGGATCATTGGGGATGATTTATGAAATACTGCTTTTTAGGAATTATATTTAGTTTTCTGCTGTCTAATATTGTCCTACAAAGCTTAATGAATGAAAAAGCTTGTTCGAAAGTGTAGTGATAGGCTTGCATTAAGGATATAAATTCTTGGATTAGATTGCCAAGAAAGCATCCATAAGTTTGCATTTCAACTTTCTTATTGTATGCTGAGTAGGTTGTGTTTCCTTTTGGGTGACTGTATTGTTCTTAAAATGTATATCCTGTTATGATCTTGATTAACAACCTAGCTAAAGAAGGTTGTCTTGAATTCATTTTTGCTTCTTTTCTTATTCCTTTTTTTTTACAGAAAAAAATTTGTTAAATGTATGAATTGTCATGACTGATTTCTGTGTTTGGGTACATTTATTTTGTTGCAGCCGAGTTGTTTGTTAATGGAGAGATAGTCCAAAGACCACCTGAAAGACAGAGGAGGGTGGAACCACAGCCCCAGAGAGCTGGAGATAGACCAAGATACAATGACAGAACCCGCTATGCTCGTCGCAGAGAAAACATGCGGTGAAATGGGAAAGATGGAACCTACTTGTGTAGATATTTTGTGGGAAGAAAGAGAATATGAGGTTTCCTATGAATTTCTTATTTAGGTCATGCTCCGTGCTCATGCTCAATGTTCTGTGAAGTTGTTTCCGGAAGCTTTGATGACACTGTAGGCTAATTTGATTTCAACTATATATTGTGTTGTTTTTCCTATGTACTTGCTATTTTCTAGAGGGGTACCAGGACCTTATTGCATGTGAGATTCCGACATGTCAATAGGAACTGTTCATTTGCTGGTCAACTGGGAACAGCAAAAATAATGACTAGTCATTACTGGGAACAGAAAAGTAACAGCCATCTCTACTCTCTTACGGGCTGTTGTTTTTTCTTTTGAAAATTATTTAGGATCAACATTTTTAACAGGTAAATTAGGAACAACCTTAACCTTGATTAAGGATGTGCAAGAATCTAAAATGAGAGGTCCTAAAAGCATAAATCTTGGATGGAAGAGTAGACCATGTAAGGATTGGTCTAAGACTGGAATCTTTCATTCCGGTTCTGTTTTGGACTCAATGGATCTGAGGACCATACCATACCATACTTAGTACAGTACTGTTTGATTTTATAATACACTTAATTTGAGTGATCATGTTACCCAAACATGACTCGAACAAACATAAAAATAAAAATAAAAATAAAGAAATACGAGACAGTAAATAAACAAATTGAGTTTTAGCAAATTGAAGTTTACTAATTGAAGTCATAACTAGATTTAAATATGTGTCCCTTTTTTAAACAATTGAAGAATCAAGTCATGATTTCAACCAAGGCCATAGTAAATTTGATTACTTACAAAATCTGAAATTATTAAAAAAAAAAAACATAATAGTTACTAAAAATTACAAAAAACTAACAGCTTTATAAGCAACTACATAAAATCAATCATTTAATTCATACAATTAATGAAAAAAAAAAAAAAAGTGAATACAATCTACTGTTTCTCTAATCCGCAGCAGTATCCTAATCTTAATTTCCATACTATTATAAATTTTATAATCATTAGATTATATTATGTAAACCAAACAGGACTTGGTTGTTTAATTTGTTAATCATTTTAAAACTTCATTAAGAATGTTCGATATATTGCATCCAATTGTATAACTAGTTTAATCAATTCAAAGTTATGCAATTATAAGAATTGCAACAAGAAGTTTCAGCCTTATATATATACATTGATCCTTTGTATGTACGATACTCTTCCAATTATAGATTGGTGGAGTTTCTTCCATGTATATTTTGTTTTATATTTTTATTGTTTAAATTTGTTTTATTAAGACTAATTAAAAAAATAATTTTTTTTCTTTCCATATTTAATGTCATATCATAGTATCTTATTTAGATATTAATTAAATAATACGATACATGTTAAATATAAATTCACATAATAGTGATAGTATACGTTAATTATCATAAATTAAATTATAATTTTTTTTTAAAAAAAAAGAACATAAAAACTAAAATTATAGAAAATAATACATAAACCAACTTCAATATTTAAAATATATTACAGGAACCAATTTAATATTTTGACCTAAGAAAAAATATAATAAAACTAATTATGTTCAAACCCAAACTTAATCCGCGAGTTACATTTCATCTTTTAATAATTCTATTGTTAAACATAAGTGAATGATTACATATACAGTTTTAACACATATAAAAGTTGATTAAAAATGTGTGTAAATTGTTACATATATAATCAGTAGCACAAAAGACAGAAAGTCAATAGAGCTAAAAAAAAAAAAAAGAGAAAAATTATTCTCTTATTAATGATCAATTGTCCATTCTTTTTTATTTTTCAAATGATATATATATATATTAAAAAATATATAATATATAATTAAGTAAATGAAAAAAGTAAGAAAATGTTTAATACAGTAGATAATCATAATTTAATATGTCTAATAATTTATAAATTAAGGTACTTTATCATGTTTTAAAAATAAATTGAGTTTTATATATTACAATAAAATTTCGAGGAGTAAAATCTAATTGGGTTAAAATTTATATTATTATTTTTTTTTTATTTTTCCCGATAAGAGCATTGGGGCAATAATATAAGTGAACAGGTAAACATCGGTAGGCCTCCTTTTCTCCTCCCACTGGGATTTTCTGCTTCTAGGTTTTCTTTGCGCGTATGTAGTATCAATGTTATGTCGTGCGGCAACTGCAGAGACTACTACGAACCCGGTTCTCTACTCTTCTCCCACTCTTCATTTCTTCAACTCCGTGTAGACAACAGGTGCGTCCTGCACCTATGATTTTCTATTTGGACAGAGTATTTTTTGTCGATTAGGGATGTTTTTAGGGTTTGTGCTTTCTGAGTTTCCATCTCGTCTTACTGGCTGTTCAGGAAACGGCAGAAAACATTTAAAAAAAAAAAATTTGGGCTACTGTGATAAAGAATGAAATATCTTATTGGTTTGGGTCTTACTCGAACTGTTCTTCTATTATTTTTATTATAATTTTCGAAAAGAAATGGTAGGAGAAACTTGTATCGAAGTCTTTGAGCAGCGGTAGCATTTTTGTTTGTTTTTATGAACCCCAACGAGTGAGAATTTTTATATATGTTTTCATTTCTTAAGTGGCCATAATATTGGTGCCATTCTTTAATTATGAAGTCATATATGCTTGCTTAATCATGTGCTTGGATCTTTTTTTTTTTTTTTTTTTTTTTTTCTCTGTTGCGAGGTTAATTTGGTTGATTCTAGATATTTAATGGTTCTTGGCCTTTGTGCGTTTCAGTAACAAGTTTTAGCTCACCCGAGGTTTTTTTAGAAATTTCTTCTGTTAACATTTCCATGAGACTTTCAGGAGAATTCCTTATATTTCAACTTATGCAATTCATTAAAATGTTTGGTCAAGCTTTTATTGTTTCTCTGTGCATTAATACTTGCTAGTGGCATTACCATTGATACTATGTACAAGCATTTGAGTGTAGCCTGTATAATAGGCTTTCATTCATCTTCTTTCTTTAGGATGGACGATACCTTCTTATATACTATGCATTGTGGTTTCCTTCTTGGAGAACTTTGTGCTAAGACATTTTTATGTAAGTCATTACAATTGGATGGTAACGTTAACTTGAGAGTGCCATACTGTTCTTTTTCTTCTAATCTTTTGGGGGATGAAAGAATTCCAGATAGCTATGCTTTTCTGAATATTATGAATGTGATAAGGGTTGGATTCTAGATAGTAGGTGAGCCTTCAGTACTCTAATTTGGGGATTGGAGTTCTAATTCTAAGTTTCCGTGTAAACCTTATGAGAAGCTAGCAGAATTTGGTTCACTAGAATTTGCAGATCTTGAAGTTATTTAGAAATCCTGATAGAACTGAACGAGTTACCTTTCTCTCTGTATTAATGTTCTTGGAGTGTTGGTTTAACCTTCCTGCCTATGTTTTTTTGGTGAATATTCTTTTTTACCAGAGGGCATGAGGAAGTTTACATTAGTATAGTTTTTCAAAGAAATTGTCTATAAAATAATACGATTTGCGAATTACTTGAGCATTGTTTTTTGAATATCTGCAAAGCAGTTCTTTTTTTGGTTATTTTTTCTGGCATTTCAAGATTTTCATCCTTTTTTTTTTCTAATTGTTTTATGTTTAATCTTATTTCAATAGTATGCAGCTTTACTTTTCAATTATAGTATAAACTTTCAATTATAGTATGCAGCTTTACTTTTAACCATCTGCGATTTGCTCGAAACATATGGGTCCATGCTTAATGCTTGGTTGATATAACAATTGAGTGCATGTTCTCTCCTTGGTTTAGTGATAACATAGACTTGACCTGACTTACCGCCAGGTTTTTAGATATGGATCATTTGATTGATATCCTGGAGTAAACTCACCTGGCTGCTTGTTTTCTACAATCTATCTCAATCCATTTGTTTACTTTGTTACTTCATAGCAGGTAGAATGAGCAGATCCAGTAGACATAAAGAGAAGCATGGTAAAAATAGTGAACCTTATCAAGATAATAACCATGAAGGAACTGCTGCTCGGACAAGGCCTTTCAGCTTCGATGAAATTATGCTCAGGAGGAAGAACAAAAAATTGTCTGAAATTGTCAAAGAGGGAGCTGCAGAAGCAGAGAAAGCATTGGGTGAAATCATGGTTGCAAGTGTTTCTGATCGTTATGAATCTGAAAGGGATTTCAAACATCATAAGGAATCTTCCTGTGTTGTTGAAAAACTCTCATCAAATAAATTTGCAAAATTAACTTCAAAAAACAAAGAAAACGATATTTCCAGGAGTGAGGAAAAAGTAGTTAAACATAAAAATGTTGCGAGTCCTGTGACAGAAAGGAAAGTGAAGGCTGAAATGAAGAAAGATGCGAGCATTAAGGCTAAACATATTACCAATATTAGTAGTAGAAAAAAAAATAGTGAGCGGTCAAATGATAGATTTGATAATGAAACTGAAGGGAAGAAAATAAGAGACTTAATTGGTAAGAGTAGCCAGGCAGAGCTAAGTAGTGGAAAGTTTGAAAGAGAGAGCAAGAGAAAATACCAAAATGGAGATGATAAGAAAAATAAGGATAGGAAAGCTTCCAAGAGAAGTGAGCTAAGAAATGATTCTGATATTCAGGAGATAAAAGAGCATAAGGAATCATCTAAATTTCATCAGGAGGATAAGAAGGTGAAAAGGAGACGATCTAGAAGTCGAGATTGTGAGGACAGAAGTAGAAGATCTGTTTCTCTCTCACCTAGGGCACGCAAATATACAACTTATCACGGGCGAGAGCATGGGAAACCCTCTTCACATGGTGTTAAAGCTAGGTCTGGAAGACATCATTATGATGTTGACAGGGATAGAATTTCAAGTAATGGCACAGATAACCACTATAGGCGGTATAGTGGGTCCACGAGTGGCCTTGGTGGATACTCTCCAAGGAAACGAAAAGCTCCGGCTGTTACTAAGACCCCATCTCCTACCAATATGTCACCAGGGAAGAAAAATGCCAAGTGGGATCTTGCACCTGCAGGAACAGGTGGCATTTCTTCTATGTCAGTTGCTTCTAATTTTCAGTCAGTGGCCCAAATTATAGTCTCAAGTGTACACGAAGTGGCTGCAAGTACAGTGAAAACTCCTACTGGTGCTTCTTACAATGCTATATCAGCAAGACAGAGTACTTCTGTTGACTCAGTTCAACTAACACAAGCAACTCGACCAATGAGAAGGATTTATGTAGAAAATGTGCCAGTTTCAGTCTCTGAAAGAGATATGATTGAATGCTTCAACAGCTTTTTACTTTCTTCAGGTTTTAATCATATCCGAGGAACTGAACCATGTATCAGCTGTATTGTAAGTCTCTGGTGTGTCATTGTGTCATATTTGTTGTTTTGTTATATGTGTGAGAGATTGGTGCTATTGTGGTCTTACGATATGTTAACTGCAGATACACAAAGAAAAGGGGCACGCGTTTGTGGAATTTCTTACACCTGAGGATGCTTCAGCAGCTCTTTCATTTGATGGCTGTGCCTTTGGTGGTTCCATCCTGAAGATCAGACGGCCCAAGGACTTTGTTGAAGTGATAGTAAGAATGAAGTTCTTGTTTATCCCTATCTATCTTTTGAGGCCTTAAGTCTGGCATCACTTGTTAGTGTTTATTTTTCCCCCCTTTTTGCCCTCCTTGATGATACATAAAATGTTTGTGTTTACTTTGATGAAATATTTATAAATATTTGTTGGCCGTGCCGGATGATTGTATGTGTATTTATTTCCATCAAACATCAGAATTTCTTCATTTAGAAAGAAAAGGCATTCTGATTCTTCGTTAATTCATAGGTTAGATGTCATTATTACATGTACCTATGCTTTTTCTCAACAATCATTGACTTCGTGATGTTAATACCAAATTTCAACCATATATATTAAGATTTCACTATTTTCTTTTCAAAAAGAAGATGACTACACTAACTAGGTGCCATGGGGATACCACCCATGTACAAAATCTCACTAGTTTTTTAGTTTGCACAAAGCAAGTTAAAGTTTTACTAGCTTAGATCTCTCACTCAAATGAGCTGCATAATGTTTTCTTATGATCAATGATAATCGAATAAGACTTTGGAAAGCGCATGGTAGTTCTTAGTCTTAATGATCACAGGCATGTAATGGATTTTAGTGTTGGAAACCACGGTAGACGAAGACTGTACTGTTTCAGGTATGAGTTGATAAGCCCCATAGATGGATTAATTTTGAGGCTTAGCTCATATGGATTGGTCCTGCAGTGGCAGTTGAATAGACAGTAGGTTTCTTGTGTAAAAATGAAGGAATTTGGTTAATCTCCAACATATAGTACGTTGGTTTCCCTTCAAGATAATTTGAGGATTAGTAGCCTTTGGTGGAGTAGAAGATCAAATCCCCATTTGTAGAGCTCGATTTTGGTGGATTAGATCTGGGTGACACCTTGTTTCCACTTTCTGATGTGGGTTGGAAGTATTGGTTGTAGCTGAGAGCTCAACTACTTGTTATTGGTAATAAAAGCTTTACCAAAAAGCTGTTTGGTTTCCATTCTCAGTTTTGAAGTGTTTGGCAGATAGAAAGTTAATCTTTTTTGATAGAAGGTTGTTCACAAGGTTGGGGAGAGGGCAGGTGGGGTGCATCTCATATTAAAAAACTACATGCTTCGTGTAAGATTTATCAAAATATCTCTTAGGAATTGAAGCATTCTTTGATTGGACAGAAGGACCTGAAAACAAATGTCTAGAGAATGAATCCAGCAGTCTTTGACCTATGGTGACAGATTTCTTCCCCTCAATCTTTGTTGTTTCTCTCAATCTAAGAGTTCCAAAATGTATTGGATGGGGCTAGAGCATCTGATATCCAGCATACCCAGCGTAGCCATTTCCTCCTGGAGCTTGCCTTCCCCTTGCATGTCCTGAATTAATTTAAGACAGAGCCTGCCATCACCGACTTTTTCCCCACTATCAAACCTCAAAGGGATATCTCAAAGCTGCCTTGTTCATTTGCTCCATAGTAGTAAGTGCCTTATAGACTTAACTTCTATTGTACATGGGAAACTTCTGTTAACTGGGATTTGAATATCTATTATGAGGACTCTCTTACGATATTTCCCAATTAGAGAGAAAACTTTTGTTGGCTTGGACTTCTAAAGATTCTAAGGGAAAAAAATCCATTCTGGTTGACCACAGCCCTGTTACTTGTCATAAGTGCTGTGAGTTGCCATTGCTTATCTCTCTTGTTGAGGATCCAGCAACCTTTATAAGCTGGGTGAATAACCTTTATAAAGCTCTCTAGAGATGAGGCTAGAATCTGTTCGTTCATTAGAGGGATATCTTAAAGCAGCTGATTGTTGATATCCGATAGCATTCTTCCATCCAAGCCTCCTTTACCCTTGTCGCATTGAAGAGGTATGAGAAGTGAATTTTAAGGGAGGGAAGCCTCACACCATCTACATTGCAAAATTGTACGCAGTTTCCCTTCCCCACTTTAGATTTCACATGTGCAGAACATCTCCCCAGCATGCTTAATGAATAAGCTTCTGTAGTACCATCTGATTGCCTGCCCCTATGACCAATTAGACAAATATTTGCATGATTGTTGTGAACCCAAATTTAACATAGTAACATAGTGGTGTAAATTTTTCATCCATAATAGTATTATCTTCTATGAGATCCAGACAACTTGCCTTAATTTTACTGATTTATTTGAGAATGGTGACTAGAAACTTACCTATATAGTATATGGTAATAATGGCCCTTCATCCATAATGGAATTATCTTCTATGAGATCCGGACAACTTGCCTTAATTTTACTGATTTATTTGAGAATGGTGACTAGAAACTTACCTATATAGTACATGGTAATAATGGCCCTCTTTCCATGTTGGTTTTACTCATATGAGCTTTAATTGGATCTAGCCCAGTGATAGATTAGTGGTTTATAAATGCCTAAGAAGCTACTTTTTGGGGATGATGCCAATTATGCAAATAGATAGTCTGGCCCTGGAATTATATTTTGTACTTATATTTTTCTTATTTTTTGTTCTTCAATGATTGACTTGATTTATAAGTACAAAGTGGCCCTGGCTTGTGTATGGGTATGCAGCTCTGATTTCTTAGTACATATAATATCTAAGTGTTGTCATTAAAAGTTTATAAGTCTTGGTCCTAGAGGATGTTATTCAACTCCTAAGTATGCAGCTCCGATTTCTTAGTACATGTAATACCTAAGTGTTGTCATTAAAAGTTTATAAGTCTTGATCCTAGAGGATGTTATTCAACTCCAGGCTGGGGTTGGTGGCTGGGTATGGCTTGTTTGCATGGATGTTTGGGCCCACAACTTTTTTGGTGTTTCAGGCTTCCTATAACAACTTTTTAGCAAGTTAATGAATTCTTTTCTTTTGGAAGCTGAGAAAGATATTGCAGCTAATAGTAATGCGAATTTGGAATAAATGATAATGTTTGTGCTTTCGTTTTTTCTTCACTCTATTGTCTAGGTTCTAAGTAAGTTTAGTTTTTTTTTTTTTCTTTCTTTTTTTTTCGTGTAAAAATTCTAACTAATTAGTTATGTTCATGGGAGGAGACCTCTCAGTGCTAATTTATGTTTTTATCATTTTGTAGTTCTGAGACAGTTAAGCTTTCTTGTGACTTATATATAGAATTATTTGGGTTATTTATGTTGAAAGTCAACTTCTGCTGCTGATTGAAAGGCCAAAAAGCTAAGATTCTCTCATGAGGGTTTCTATATCCTTGCTATAAACTTAAGGTGGTCCAGCTTTGGGACTTTGTTTGATTGTACCTTTTGTTTTGAAAAGGTTCTTTGTTTTTTTCTTGCAATATAGAAACAGATTCGACTTCTTTTATCAGATATAACTCCAGGAACTGCAGCTGTAGCTTTATAAACTTCTATTACACGTCTGAGATTTTTGTTCTGACTGTCATGTTGGAATCTCTTAAATAGGGTGTTTATGTTGGGTGTGTCGTAATTCACATTCAGGATGGTGATGAAGCTGTCTCCTAAATAAGAAGATTTACAGGTGTAGTGACAAGTTTGTTGTGCTTGCAGCTTCTTTTTCTGGCACTGGTTTTGGGTTTTTGATCTAGGCTCTTAAAAACAGTTCTTCTATAGTAGCATGCAGACCAATTTTCCCTGATGTTTAACTTCGTAAATGATATGAAATGCTGTCACATTAGGTTTAGTGTCAGTTCAGTTGGTGTCTTCTGCTTAATGAATATGCACATGGCTGTGCTCTGAAGATAATTATTAACTACCCTTCTGAGCTCATAAGAAATCATTATTTTCTTAGATATAGTTTTGTATAATTGTTATTTCAAAACGAAGATTATTCTTTGGCAACATACTTTTTTTGAAGAAATTTGGGGTACGTATTAAACTAGGATGAGTTGAAGTGTTTAGTTGAACAATTTATGTTGGCTGTCTTTTCTGTTGTGGAACTATGGTCTAGGATGTTTTTCCTTCCTTTCTCAAGAAAAAATTAAAGTAAAAGATAGTGATCTTTCAGTACAAACTAAATCATTACCCTATAAGGTGGAGTTTTGAATCTGTTGATAGCTGTTGAAGAAATCATGTTGTTTGTATTTTCTCATTGTAACATGAACTGATGCTACCTCAGATTTGTTTCAACAACCTTTTGTAATTTAATTTTGGTTGCCTAACTTTATTCATGTGTATGACCTATTCAAAGCAACACTGGAGGAGAAATTTGTCAAACAATACAGGGTACTTTGCTCAAACCATAAATGTTCTCTTCCTATCTTTCAAAGACATCACTTGTGCTAAAAGTACATTGGATTATAATTGTTAGTCACTTGCATTTAACAAATACATGCACTATGCATGTTTGTTGGAGATATTCATGTAGCTTGAAGCTGGATATTGTTTGTAGAACATGTTTGCTAGGGAGTGAGTTTTGACACTGTTAGACATATTAGACCACTAACATGGTAATTGTAGAACATGCTTATCTGTTGTCTGCTTCTAAGTGGTTGAGGACATTTCTCTCTGGGCTTTTGAGTTGCACTAATTCACTGTATTCTAAGTGGCATGCTGCATGCCTAATAGACACGAAGGCATATGAATGAAATTGTGATTTATCTAAAAAAAATGAATGAGACTATGCAACCCTCTCCCAGGCTTCAAATTACCTAGTTTTTAGTATTACCTGCTATTCACAGTTCAGTTAAATGAATAAGGTTGACGATGCATTAATTTTCCATGTTTGGGGAAAACATGTTGATATGAACAGTACTGTTATTGTTCCTCCTTTATAATAAATTTCATCATTTGAAGGGGTCATGTCCCTTTATCTTGAAACTTGCACTTACATATCTATGTAAAATATGCTCTAGGTTTTATGTTCTTTACTTTCTATATATGAGGGTGCTGTTTTCCTCCTATTATCTGTTTCTCAATTTGGTTTCCCAATTTCTGCACGATGTTATTTATTCTGTTTAGTTCATCAGTCTTAGCAGCCCATATTTTGTTTCAACTAGTACTGTACTTTCTGCTGCTGCTTTGCAGTTTCTGAGGTACATTGTGGTTACTATCCATGGAACAGGTTTTCAGACAGTTGCTATTTTCATGCAGACTGGTGAACTGGAGAAATCAGTAGCTTCTGTCAATGCAGTTAGTGATGATGTGAAGGATTCACCTAACAAGGTATGCACGGGAAGAAGTATGCTTTGTCTTTTCTTAATAAAAATGGCAAGAAGCATATATTACAGTATAAAGTAAGTGTAGTTAGCCCTTGATTACGATAATTGGCTTACCCTGTATATGATTAATTGACTAAAATTCTTATATCTAAAGTTTTTTTTTTTTAAATAAAAAGTGTATAAATATATTAACATGGTACCAAACAACCGGGAGAAATATATTAACATGGTACCAAACAATCAGGAGTATCGCCCCTATACAGAAAGTTTTACAATGTAGTTAGTGAGTCAATGACATACCCAAAATCCACATCACTAATCATGTTATGGCCTAACAATAAAAACTCAAAATAATGCATACACCTCTTTCAATCTATACAAATCAGTTGGTTTACCCTCAAAAGCTTTAGAATTTATTTCCTTCCATCGAATCAAAGACAGAGATAATGGAATGATATATTTCAAGTTTTTATCTAATTGTATCTCTTCCCAAGCCCACAATTCCTCCCTAATAGATCCAGCCATCACCCAACTAACGCCAATCATACTATAAATAGCACTCCACAACCCAAAAGCCAGCGGACACCACAATAAAATATGCCTGCAACTTTCCGCATCAGCCATACACAAATAACATCGGTTGGGAATGACCAGCCCCCTTGCAATTAAATTGTCAATTGTCAAAATGTATTCTCTACTTGTTTCCCATGCAAAAATGACAATTTGATTCCTCTCAAGCACGATTGTGGCCAACAACCCCTCTGTTTTTTCAATAAGCTGTTGTAAGAACCTTCATATTACTCTCGGATGCAGCTTTAATGTCAAAAAGACATAAATGCTTGATCTAGTTGTCCAATGCATTTGATGAAAGCTCTTGCGGAGTGTTCCTGTTCCTGTGAGATGGTTGTTCTATGTGTTGGCTAAGTCCTGTGGACGGGTATATGCATTCTTTTTAGCTCATAGAGAGGGTGCTTGAGATTGTTTATTTTGTACTTACAAATAACTTGAAGCACCTTGCTCCAATATTCGCTTTTGGTAGCATAAAAAGTAACGACTTTAGGAAGATGGAAAATAAGTAACCGACCCTAATGTTTTAGGCTTTGATTTTTTTTTTTTTTTTGTGTAACTAATTTACTTAAATGCTTTCTTGATATCTTCTTAAAATTAACAATATATCCATAAAATAATGTAAGTAATAAAATATTTGTAATAAATATATATTTTCTTATTAAATTCTTTATAAGAAAATAACTATTTATTTTTTGCAGTGAACACTTTCCAAATGCATAACTATTTATTTTTCAAATAAGAATTTACAGTAACTTAAAATAACTTACTGCTTTAACTACATTTCTTTTAGTAATCTAAAGACCCTCTGAATTTCCTTAAGATGAGTACATCTTCTTGTCCTGTCTCTGCAGAACCTCGCTTTCTGTTTACGCATACAGATTTGGTTTTCTGGTTCATCTGTGCTACAGATGTGGTTTATTCTACTTTATTTGTCATTTTTATTTCCATTTTTCTGGTACAGATATTTGTTGGTGGAATTTCGAAGGCTTTGTCATCTGAAATGGTAATTTCTGAAAAGTGTGCGACTGACCTCTGCGGTTCATAGATTATTCTTCCTGGCTGCTCTCTCTCTCTCGCTCTCTCTCTCTCTCTCTCTCTCTCTCTCTCTCTCTCTCTCTCTCTCTCTCCGCCTCCTCTTGTACTTCGTTTGTCAACTTCCAAGTTGGTAAGTGACTGTAATTTTCATGCCATGTTTTCCAGTTTATGGAGATTGCAAGTGCATACGGACCTTTAAAGGCATACCACTTTCTTATCAATGAGGATCTTAATGAGCCTTGTGCTTTCTTGGAGGTAATAGAGGATGCCTGTACTTCAGTAGGCCAATACTTTTTTTTTTTCTCAAGGAAAGGGTTTAGTATGCTAAATTTAGAAGTATAGCAATCCATAAAATTCTTTATTATCTGTGTGCTGTTTTCAAATTCTTTTAATATATCTGCTTAAATTTTTTTTCCTATAAAAGAAATTTGCTTGTGTTTTGAAATGAATGATAGGTGAGTGCAATGCAGGTCATTTTGTGAGTCCCTTTAATTTCTTCCCTTCCATGCAATCATTCTATTTTATTTGCCAAGGGCTTACATAGCTTGGTATGACCAGCTACATTGAGGTGTATAATAACAACTTGGACTATTACATGGTTTGAAAGCTAACTGATACATATTCTTCTTCAATTTTCCTTTAAATGAGCAGATTGGCATGCATAACCAGCTAACTGATAACTATGAACCTAGATATAACCTGATCGCAGTGTGTCCTGTTAGTACCTGAGTAAGTGCCCAGGGTTGATAAGGTTTCTTGGTTTGTATTGTTTGATTGGATCTCATTTTTTGGACTTGAAGCTCCTGCCTTTAGTAATACATTCTGTTATTTTTCTCCCGTTATCAATTTGTTTTAATAAACTCAAAAACTAGCTAATCAGTCAAAGAATGAAGAATGTGTCAATAAAAAGCTTTTACCCTGCCCAGTGAGTGGTACTTCTATATTATGGTGAGCATGGTGCTCTTGCACAACCTTGCTTTCAAGTATTAATTCTCGTCAGTCTAAGTGGAGACAATACTAAACTTGTATATGAAACAGTTGAATTTATCAGACAATTCTGAGGCTTGTCAACTTCCTATTCACCAGCACTGAGTAAGCTCGGTCACTGGTTTATTAGCTGTAACAACAGTCAGTCTACAGACTTGTTAGTTTTATTGGTTCATAGTGTTTGTGTTATTATTGAGAGAAGCATGCCTGAAGCTTTGACATGCTATGTTTTATATGTTATGACCTTCAGTATATGCTGACTTGTTTTTTGATATGCATCAGTATGTAGATCCGTCGGTTACCACGAAAGTTTGTGCTGCCCTGAATGGTATGAAGTTGGGGGGACAAGTAATAACTGCTGTTCAAGCCTTCCCAGATATATTATCCCTGGTAGTTTACCTTTTTATTTTGGTGCTCTATCTTGTGCTGTTAACTTTCTCAGTATGGTGCATGAAAACATTTTCCACTTTTTATTTTTCTTTTTAAAAAGTATTTAGTGTTTTCTAGAAACTTTTCTATTAATGTTTAAAATCATACGCACGCGTGCTAAAGTACATGCATATATTTGGTGCTGACTTGAAGAAACTACATATGCTAGGGTAATACTGTAAACCCGCCGTTCTATGGAATCCCTGAACATGCGAAGCCTCTACTCCAAAAACCCACGCAAGTTCTAAAGCTTAAAAATGTGGTAAGTTTTTGTATGATTGCTATTCTGTTATATTGTCTCTCATTTCTTCCTGATCTGCTTGGTAAGGTGCCCTTGACTCGGGTTTTATAGTAATTAGAAGTGTTTTTTATCGTTCTCTGTTTTCGTGTATGATAGTTCAATCTAGAAGTCCTCTCATTTTTGTCTGAAGCCGAAGTGGAAGAAATATTGGAAGATGTAAGGTTAGAGTGTGCCAGGTACTAAGGATAAACATTCTCCAATTTATCCCTGCTGTTTGAAGTTACTGGATATAAAAAATTTGATATTAAAAAATCCTGCAGGTTTGGCACTGTTAAATCTGTTCACATGATGGAGTTTGGGGCCAATCTTATCACTGGGGAAGAAATCAGTAATTTGGACAATGTGATGGGAGGTGGAGCTGAGGAAGTGAATGCAGAAATGGACGAGTTGGAAGTCGTTAATCATGCATCAGGAGTTGCTGAAGTAGAAAATAGTATCAATGGTGGGAAAGCTGAGGAAGTTGATAAAATTGAAGGTGGTAAAATTAGGGACGTTAAACCTGTGATGGACTGTATGGAAGATGAGCTATCCGAGCAGAGCAATAACGTGGGCGTGGAGGACTTAATCCTTGAAACCATATCCGAAGAAAATTGCAAAATACTTGCCAGCCAGGGACCCTTAAACGGCAAGACAGACGATCATGACGAGAAGAAGGTTTGTGACATTGTTGAAAGAGAGAATGTTGGCATGGGAAACGTAAGTATTGAAACTGATGGTGGTGAGCGGACACAGGAAGAGCCGGTTGAGGAGCACGAGTGGAATGTCGAATACAAATCGGAAGCAGGGTGTGTTTTTGTGGAGTATGGAAGAACAGAATCGGCATGCATGGCTGCACATTGTCTACATGGACGATTATTTGCTAACCAGGTTGTGAGTGTGGAATATGTTCCTCTGGATGATTACCATGCAAGATTTCTGAAATAAATATAAAATATTCTGTAGTGCCATGGTTCCATGTGACAAACTCATTGATATAAGGCATGTTGCCGTGTAATGACCATCACCATTCTAACAGCGTTATGTTGATATGGTCTAATATCAATCACCTTTTGCCCTTATTATCTTCATTCATTCTTTTTTTTTTAATTATTAGTACAGAAACTGGGGATTGAGTGCCAGACCACCCTCTCATCCGGGGGTGGTTAACATTTGGTTGGTTTGGTTTTGAAAATTTTAAAAGTAAAAAAAAAGTTGAATGAACCTTCAAATTTGAAAACTAAACAAATCTGTTTAATTGTTGTAGTCCTTCTTGCTTGCTTGGATTTGAACTAAATAATTAGTGAAAGACGAAAATGAATGAATTAAAATTGTTTTAACTCAACTGATGAAAATTGAAAAAAGCAAATTAATTAGTTAAACCTGGTGAAGGACCAAAATCGATACCAAATTTAATATATGATTACAAATATTCATGTATTATATATAAGGATACTCTGGAACTGAGATATTACAGACTAATATATTATATATATATATATATATATATATGTACATACATTGGTGTATTATATGTAAATTAATATATAAAATAAACTACAAATATACAAAAGTATATATTTGTTATATTATTATTATCATGTATGAAACAAGGTAAATTAATAAAATAAAAATTAAATTAAAATTTAATATTTATGTTAAATAAGATAAATAATTTTAAATAAGTTAAATATTTTTTTAAAAATGTGGCACCGACGAAGCAAGCGGCCTCAAATTTGATATCGTTATCCAACCACACACGCCCCTTCCCTTTTACTCACTCCTCGAAGCTAACCAGATGGAAATGGCAACGATGGCGTCTCCAGCTATGTTACTGGGAAACGCTTCCACCAATCTCTGCTTCCGCAACTCGCACCTCTCTAAGATTTCCATTTCAAAGCCCAAGCTGCCTTCAGAATTAGGGTTTCTTACTTCTCAACTCGGCGGCATCAAACTTTCTAACCCCCTCCCTCAACTGCCCAAGCTCACCTATGCTCCTTCCGCTCCCGCTTTCCATCCCGTTGCCCGTATGTTCTCTTCTTTCCTCTCTTTTGTATATTTTCGATTTACCTCAGAATTGCCAGGAAATAGGACTGTGTTTTTCTTTTGATGCAATCTGTCTAGGATTTATATTCTAGTTTCTAAAAAATCTGTTGGTCCGGTCAATGTTGGGCTTCTAGGGTAAGAATGATGGAAAACGAAAGGAAAGTAGCGCAAAATTGGTGCATTTGCCCGTTCCATTTTCTTTTTCTTTTCTCAAAGTTTATCAGGAGCCAAAACTCTTATCCATTCTCTCGGTTGGCCTTGTTTAAAGTACTTTCTTATATAATATTTCCGAAACGGAATTAGGTATCAGTGCTTCGGTTATAAGCTGATATGGTTTATTAAATCATGTCGACATCTGAGTTCTGTTAGCGACTTGGGCATTTGAGCTCATTCATTCTATTGACATGCTTTTCCTTCTGCTCATTTTTCTTCCGTTATGATTGTGAATTCAGGTGATTAGGATAAACAGAACGCAAAGAAGGAATAAGATTTAGTCAGTAGTACTTCGAATCTTTGAGGATATGAAGATGAAATATGTTTGTTTGGAAAAATAATACTAGTTGCAATTGATTACTAGGCTAAAATTTGGTTCCAATTCGAATTGCGTGTTACAGGAAAAGTGATCATGCTGGAATGAGAACAATATTCTAATTCAATTTCCAATTACTCAATCAAGTAGGAAGAGAAATTAATCACCATAAAGTTCAATACAAGAGTGAATTAGTTAAATTTTGAATCAAATATGAAAATTATGATATTCCTCTATGTTTAGGAATTTAGATCAAGCATAGAACAATAATGAATAAGAATTGAAGCAAATAGCTTGAAGGTTTGCAAGATGACAGAACTATTATTGGTTATAGTTCCTTCACATTTTGCCAATATACATACATGGGAGTAAATGAGGCATTTCCATTTGAGCTTTTAATTTATGGAAATTTACTTAATGAAGTCCATATGTTATTTGCAGATAAGTACTGTTAAAAATGTAATTTATCTTGAGAATTCTGACACAAATGTGATGGGTACTATTCATTTTTTCTTTTGTATTTTCTATGACCTTTACCATATAATTTTTTCTCTGCTCCAGACCTTAGGATCTTACTTTTTTACTTCCTTTCATGAAAGCCGTTTGGTTTGCTGATGTTCATTTGTCTTTTCAGGTCGAGTGTGTCCATTCACGGGGAAGAAAGCAAACAAGGCAAACAAAGTATCCTTCTCCAACCACAAGACAAAGAAATTGCAGTTTGTGAATCTACAGTACAAGAAGGTCTGGTGGGAAGCTGGTAACCGATATGTTAAACTACGTTTGTCAACTAAGGCATTAAAGACCATAGAGAAGAATGGTCTGGATGCTGTTGCTAAAAAGGCTGGTATAGATCTTCGCAAGGAATGAAAAGCAGATACTCCAGATTTTTTTGCCTTCATTTGTTAGTAAAGCTTGTCTAATTACTACTTTTTTGGTTGAGTTTTAGTTTTAGTTTCTCTTCCATTGTGATATTCTGCTCGGCTCAAGTGACCAACATAATTTGCATGTCTTGGAAAGTTCTATCATCCTATCACAAAACAGACTTAATTGAAAAGTTGGAACCAAATATTACTGCTCAAGATCACCGAAAACAATTTTGAGAATTTTTTTTTTTTTGGTTAATAAGGACCAAAATCATAGCTAGTGTTAGATGGTAAAAGGGTGATTTGCACTCCATTTACTTTAAGGGCAAATATGAGCAATGAATTTGTTTGTTCTTATGGTAATAATTTAGCCTGTCCTTGAGAATCATTAATCCTAAATCAGATGTCAGGCAAGCTCTTGGTGAGTATGCAAATCACTAAAAATTGGGATGCGGTGAAATGTTGGTTGCACTGATTTCTTCACCATTAGCATTGCTTGAAAATCTCCCTTGCTGTGAGTGAAACTTCCTCCATGATGATATGCTAGCAGCAACCTCTGTAATACCATTCAAATGCCCTTTTCATTTTAACTTGAGATTAGTAAGAAAATATAATTTCCATTTCCATTTTTATTTTACCTCTTTTTTCTAGAAAGAAATCTCAAATTACCTAAATTTTGTCTCCTAAAAAGAAAAAATGTAGAACTAATACTTGTGTTGGTTAATAGATTGTTTTGATTTGTTTAGGAAAGAATAAATTCATTGATTTTTTAGAGCATCCAAAAAGTGTTGTGATTTATTAGTAATCCTTCTGGAAACAAATACAGTAAGTAGTGCCTAACAACTGTAAAAGCATATTGATTTCCACTATGCACAACTTCAAGATAGAAAACCTTCTTTTCAAAAAAAAATTGAAATTTCTGATAAATTATCATTTAATCTTGAAAAATAATTTGAGAATATCCTACCCATTTAAAAAAATTAAGCAAATTTTAATCCATTGATAGATAAAAATCTGAGTTCATCCATGCTCTAGGCCACTGTTTGAGCCAGGATCCTCTTGATCTCAGTCTTAGCCATGGTCCCAGCTCCTGCTTCGCCGTAGATTCTAATCCAGGCCCGGGTCCTGGACTCAGCCTGAGAATTACATCCTAAAACCAACTTGAGATTTTAAGGAACTTGATGCGTCTGATCTCTCTTGCATTACCGATTTACTATTGCAATATATTATACAATTTGATGAAACCAGATTTTATGATACATGTTTTTTTTTTTTTTTTCTAACGATACCTATTATAATTTTTTTTAATAATTTAATACAATGTTTGGGTGGTATTTTGATAAATAAATAGAATTTTTTATTATTAAAGAATTAAAATCAATTTCTAAATGCTTTTCACAAACTTGTTATCTCTACTTCTATTGCAATTTATGATCCATTTTTGTGACAGATTTACATTTATTGTCACCAAAAAAAAAAAAATTTCACCCATAAGTTTACAATTTTTTGTTATTACAATTGCGATCATCATCTGCGTATGGTAAAGTTTTCCCATTTATAAATGTTTTCTTTGTCGTATAAAAACTATTCCAGCAACTTTTTTGATGTATTTGATGAAATTGTGCTTTTCTCAACAATTTCAAGAAATTGTGTTATAATATTATTAATGTACACGTATTAGATGATTAATAAAATAGATAAAGTTGCAGTAGAGATTAGATTGTTCATATACAAACACAAACTTAATCAATCACACACCACATATATATATATATATATGTCAACTTTCTTAATCTATTATGTATTGTTGAAATCATAATATTTGAAAAGTCAAACCATGTATAGACTGTGAATGTTATTTTCAGTCCATAATTTTACAGCAAAAAATGGAAACAGCTAAACAGGTTATCTAAAGGGCTCAACTGGTGCAGTTTCTTCAAGAAGAGCTGCAGCCTCAAAGCATTCAGCAGCCTCCATTACTGACGCTCCAACATCAACTTTATATACCAAACCAAGATTGTACCATGCACAGGCATTTGTCCGATCCACTCGGATTGCATCTGTGAGAAACGTTCTTGCAATTGCCATTGATTGGCTTCCGAACTGCTTCAGGACACAGGCTGTAGATATCAAACTTGGCACATGCCAAGGTTCAATGTCTAATGCATTCCTATATGATTTCAATGCTTCTTGCTGGAGTCCCTTTGCTTCATACAATAAACCTAAAACACATTCATCGTCAATTTTCGGATTATGTCACATGGGACTTAAATGTAATGCATGAACAAGGACTTCACATATGTAAGGAAAATTCATTTATTAAAGAACTTCTGTAACATTAGATATGCAATCATTTCATAACTATAATATTAACAACAAAATCCATGCTGTGTGTGCAACACATTCTGATTAAATGGATTACTGTCTGTAAAATAATATTAACAAAATGCGTAAATATAACAGTATTGTACCTGTGGCGTGCCACCTGGAAGCAGAATAAGTGTTAATAGCCTTGGATTTTGAAAGGCAGACCTCAGCATCGTGCCACTGGGACAAGCTTGTATACACATTAGCTAGATCATGCCATGTTTCCATTTCCAAGCTTCTATCTTCATTTCCAGTTTTCTGGAAGAAAATTGAAAAGAAATTGATCGAGGAATTGTTCTGAGCACGTGAACTAAAATCCCAGTCTAAAATTAATCTGTCTTGATCCCTCTCCCTGCCCATTTATACTTATCATAACGCATAAACAATGAATTCCAAAGTTATGAAAGAAATCTTCATAACATTTCAATTTGTACTGTAGTTGCACCAAATAAAGATCAATATGGTTAGTCCAACTGTTTAGTAAAGAAGTTAACTTAATGTTGTAAAAAAATCCATTCAGTTCGATTCAGATGTTCTATAGAGCACAAAAAGCATGGACTATACATAAGAATCAAAACAAATAAGCAGAAAAATAATGCGTGGTTCTCCTATGTCTTCTTTTCGGTCTCGACACACACATGACAATTAACTAGTATATTAGGATTCCAGAGATTTTTTCCCTTTCCAACCTCGCATCACAATGTAATTAGAAAACATATAACATGTTGGTACCAAAGAAAACAGGATAGTATGCATGCAATGGAGAACCATACCTTTAGAAGCTTCTTTCCAGCACCACGCATTTTGGACCGAACTTGCAGAATAGCAAGAAGAAGAGTATATGTTCTATGGCTTTTTTTAACTGACCCTGTGCAATTTGGAGCTTAGCTTTGGTTCGTAATAGTTCTCCTTGGTCCCACTTCCCCAGTTTGCTCTAGAGCTGTGTTAATTACATTCTCTGCATCAACAAACCGCTTCTGAGCGGATAATATTCGAGCCAAAATAATATATCCTTTAATATGAGACCCGGTTTCAAGTATTAATAACTCTTTTGCATAATAAAGTGCAAGATCCAGTTTCCTCTGCTCAGCATTTTCTAAACAGAGATGGAATATAACGTACGGATCTCTTTCTCTCATTGCTCTTTCAGCTCTTTCCAGTGCCTCAAGGGCTTGAGAATGCTTTAAACTTCTGTCAGAATCTGACGCAACTAATTTGGAATGAGCTGATAGTAGGATACCCAGAGTGCAATTCGCGATACTTAACATTTGGCTGCATCTCCCATCCAATTCAGAAAGCGCTTTGCGAGCATAAGCTATCCCTTCTTCAACACAAATTGCATTCTGTCCGCAGATCTTTGCAGAGAGCAATAATTCTAATATGCAGTCTTGATTCTCTCTGTTATTCAGCAAGTTCCTGCAAAGGTTCAAAGCAACAAGGTCCTCACCTTCACCACAGTAACAAAGAGACAGCATACAGTATCTTTCTCTTTTGTCAATATTCCCTGGAAGCAATTGTTCGACGTGCTGTGCTAAGGCACTTAATTCGCCTGAGACAGACAGGGCAAAAGAAAGATGATCCATAATTGACGGGTCCCATCCAATTTTTCTAAGAGTAAATTTTCTGAGAAGAATCAGCAACAAAAGAACAGCTTCCTCTATATTGTTTCTGGGAACAAAACCTCCTTCTATTTGAGATCGGAGATTTGGTGGGCTTGCATCAGTGCCACTATACAAAAGAAAAACTGCAAATTCCTTTTGTATCTTTGCCGTTGTTTCCAGGTCAAGATTCCAACGATAGATGAGGGCCCGCCTGTAGGACAATATAGCATCCTGAGAAGCCCCGGCAAGCTTCCATAACTCTGGAAGTAGCTCAACAGCTTTGTTTAGAATTTCCTGCAATTTACAATCAGCAGAAATGTTTTCAGGTAGACCTTCTGGCAATGAAGATTCTACAGTGTCCAGGATAACTCTGCATGACTGAGCAGCTTCTGCACAAGCACGTAAAGAAAATTATCCCTGCTGGAAAATTCTGAAAAAGGTCTGAAATTCTTCTCCTTTCCAGTTTTCATTTCTATGTGCACAGTGCATGCTCTCAATATATGAATGAGAGACAGATGAACAACACAAAAGTAAAACCTGCAGGGTCTCCACACGTAAAAATTGACTTGGAAAAGCAAACTGGATAACAATTTGATACTCAACCATAAAAAATGTATGTAAATTCAGCAAAATATTCTTAACAACATTAAGAAATCTTCCTGATTTTGAATGATTTGAATAGATGGTAGAAAAGTAACTAAGGAGTCAAATGCATATAAATGGATGAGAGGTAAACAAAAGGCAAGAAGTGAAATGTAGTGAATACCTTGAAAGCTTCCAAGATGTTGAAGTGATTTTGCTTTGAGGAAAATAGCTTCAAGAAGTAAAGTAATAGCATGCATGGACATAGGCGGAGCAGTATCACTTTGCGAACGGCGTCGATTCTGTTCACATCTTCTGGAAAGAGAAACTTTTATTTTGGAAGTTACAGCAGTGACATCTATTCCTTCAAATACGTGAAGTGCAGCTTCTATGTTTCCTTTTTGATACTCAAGCCTTCCTAATAATGCTCTTGCTTCCTGTAAATCAAGATCTCTTACTTAGCTCCACATAAGATATACCAAGTTTTTATAAAATTTGAGCATTAAGAAAGAGTTACAAAACAACATCTAGAAATCATGATAACCACATAAAGAAGATAATGTGGAGAAATGAGGTCAATTGCTAGAATCCCAAAAGGATGTAAAGGGTACAGAGTTCTGTAAGCAATTTACAACTTCAAATTCCATGTTTAGACAAATTTAGACAGAAATAATAGCTTCTCAGATTGTGTCAAATATTCCTTCCAAAATGAATGAAATATCAACCCCCATAATCTAAACTTACTGTTGTTCAGACCAAAAGTGTCAAAACTTTCCCACTAACCTGCCCAACTTGAGGATATTGTGAAAGAGAAGCTGAAGGAAATAAGTATGATGAAATTAGAACAATGCTCAATCCATGAATTATCTAGCAAAGCAGAACCTAGAAACATACTACATCAAAAGTGAAAGTTAACTCCAAAAACAAGTCCCCAAAAGCATTAAAGAAGAATTAACATTGTTTCTTATCCATTTCTTTGACTTTATAAAGCCTCCAGCTGAAGTACTCTTTATGTGTAAGTGGTACAAGTGAAATCTAACAGCAAAATGCAACTGTGAACTCTCAGTAAATTTGGTTTAAATGTGGTTGCAGTCAATTTTTTCTGCAATTTCCAAATTAATTTACCCCTAATAGTCTTGTTTTTACTTTGTCAGAAAGCTTCATGCAGATTTCCGAAATTAAAACGGAGGCTGTAGTTTTCTAAATCTGTAGAACTAAAAGTTGATAAATGAAATATTTCTTGTAAAATAGGATAGAGAAATTAACCAAAAGCCACAATGGCCAAGAAGAACCAAAATTTTAGATGCAAAGAACCTCATAGTTGAGATAACCGCTCTCACGCAGAGATGACTCTGCTTCTTCGATGTTGCTATTGTCAAGCTTTGTTTCCATATCAGCAGTTCTGGAGGAGTATCCACTTGCAGAGTAATCCCTAGTTGCCAGTGACTCTGAAGAAGCTACAGTTTCATCTACTCCCAGCTGCTCTCCAGACCAAATGCACTTCATCATTTTCTGCAACCTCACTCCAATTCCAAATCTCCGTTTCTTCATCCAACTTTTAAGTCTCATTATGTTTCATCACACTTGAAATCCTTCCAAAGAAATAAACAATTAAAGAAGAAATACAATCATTCAATACGATAGAAACCATGAATAACAATGCAAGTTGCCTAAATCATGAATTCTTCAACCACAAAGTTAAATTCATACACGTAATAGGAAAATGATTGATGTCCCAAAGGAGCATTGGCGAACTCTCCAAAGTTTTCCTCAAGAAGAAAAAAAAAAACCAAAAATCCAAACAAGTTTCTTCTCTCTTTCTCTTCCTCCCCCCACCACCCTAACTAGACAGAAAACTTGAATTCAAAAATCGAAAACAAACAAGTAAAATTCTGTTTGGAAAATGAAAATCCCACCTGTATTTCCTGCTTATGAACTCACCAACACTAGCGAAGTTCAGAGCTCAAGCCATCATTGACTCATGCAGAATAAATAATAGAAGGAAACAAGAGAAACCCAGAAAACCCCAGGTAAACATGTACAAATTTAGTCAAAATCAACAAGATATCATGATTAGAAACCAAAGTTGAGAGACCCACAGAAAAAAAAAACAAAATGAAAAAGAAGGATCAAAGAACTAAACGTGTGGAAATAACACTACAAATAAAGAAACTTACCTTTGCATTGCAAAAAAGAAGATCCCGAGCCCACAAAACACCACCATCACTAGGCATCTCCAATGAAACGATACTTTCATCTTCTCATATAAACAAAGAATCCAAAGCTCACGTCAACTTTTCTGTCGTCATTCATTCTATTTGGGTATGAAGAAGACAGGCAAGACTCGTGATTCTTCATTTCTCGCGTTGGGTTTCCGTCTTTTGTTGTTTTCCGGGATCGAAGTTACTTGATTTTGTTCTTCAAAGGTGTGAACAGAGGCATGATTTGTCAACTGATAGTTGGAACAAATCTAATTTAATAATAAAAAAAAGAAACATGCCTTTTAAAAGTAGTCAATTTAGCGCCCAAGAAGAGACGTAAATGCCAGGGGCCCAATCTGAAAGTGAAATCTACTACCCAATAATTAATGTCTCCTTTAAAAACACATTGATTCATTCACCCAATACAAAGAAAAAAAGATCTAGAGCAGCATGATAATCCACAAACAGGAAAGAATTTAACAGATGAAATTTAAGAGTTAAAAAAAAAAAAAGGTTATTGATGATGAGTCGAGCAGAAACGTGTTAATGAGGGAAATTGTTTTAAAGGGTCATTTTCAAAATAAATTTTGAAAGGTGGCAGTAGGTGTAGAATGCTTTCGAAACGTTTCGCGTTTTCAACGTCATCCATTATTTAACTTTTGTATGAAAGACTGAAATAAAAATGTCTCTTCATTTTTAGTTCAACTACAAAGTTGTCCCTAATATTTAATAAATTTATTTTTACTATCGAGTCAAAGCTGATTAGGTAACATGTCTCTCTGTTATTTTTACTTAATATGTTAACTTTATCGTTATTTTATATGTTATATGTAAAACTGTAAAAGTTCAAAACTTAAAAGGTAATAAAGTTATAAATTAAATGTGGAAGTAAAATAATAGAATTTAGAGTTTACATTCCTTACACAATAATTTAAAATATTTCATAGAGTTACAGAAATATCACTTCTAAAAAAATAAACGAAAATCAAAGAAATAAACAAAATATAAATAACTGAGCATTCTAAGACGACTTTCACTAACTTTTGAAGGTAGTCTGGATGGTGAATTTATTCACAATCCTCTTATTGATCAGGATCTGAATGTTAGTCCTCTTGATCTGAAATAGTTAATGAAAGGGTGAGCTACATTAATCTAGTAAGAATATCAGACTACTCACCGATACAGAAACTGAAGGTTGATAAAAATTATAAAAACAATAAATGAACTCTTGATTTAAGTAAATTCATTTATCATAAATAAAACTATTTATTGCATATATTTACCGTTGCGAGATTTTCAAAATCGACCTATGGAGACAATAACTCAAATAATATTTCAATCTCATTTTCGAGTGAGCAATAGCAACCATTTTCTCATTTTATTTATCTACTAGTATCCCTGGGGACCCATAAGGATGTCCCACTATGCATGAACCAATATTCAATATTATCAATTAACCGGTCATTCCCATATAACCCGTTCGGTATGAGCGCCAAAAATACCATTCCTCAATACCTTATCTGGTATGAGACAACTTTCACGGTAAGATTCCCTATGTACCTGATCCATCCACTATCTCTCAAGATATCTAGTAAGACTATCATTCATTAATTCATATGAACAATCAATTTTTCGTTTGCATATTAATTTCCAATTTCACAAATTAATTGTAAATCACGCAAGACAAGCAATATATATATTAAGGAACCACAACCGAATCATTCAACCATTTTAGTATATTATCATTTATTTAAAGTTGTAAATTTAATAATCAATTATATAAGACAATAAATAAATAATTAACTAGTTCCGACTCCATTAGTAATTTATAATTATTCTCAAAATTTTTTAAATTACACAAAATATCATATTACCGATTATTAAGGTTCAATTCTATAATAAAGAATAAGGTGAGGGATTCTTACCTAAATCGGTGTTTAAAACACCAAATTTTCTACTGCACTTACTGGTGATCCTTAGGTTTCCTAAATTTTCTGCAGAAATTAAAACACGCTTCAGGTACCTAAAAATACATCAAAAAATTCAAAATCAATGTTAAAAACATTTTCTGCCCAATTTTGAAATTCTGGTATGGCAACACCGATGTGCTTCGGCGACGGCACCACCGCCTGTAATGGTGGTTTGCCTTGGCTTGCCCATTTGCGGCTAGTTTTGGCCAGTTTCGGTCAGTTTTATACTCATCCTTGTGAGGAAACATGTTAACAGGTCTCAGTTGGCCCAAAAAAAATAAAAAAACAGAAACCTATCAGTGGTGAAATTTTTCAGTGCGGTGGCTCCGCCGGCTCACCTTTGTGGCTGAGCGTTTTTCTTCGGTTAACCTATAGAAAACAGAACGATGAACACAATGGTGAAAAAATCACACGAAACGGGAAACAGAAAGGGGCTCATCGGATGAGGTTTTGTGTTTTGCCCACGGCGGTGCGCTGGCCTTTGCCTACGATTTTTTGCTCATTCATCCTTCTTTTTGCTTTGATTTGGTCATGGGGGTGCTCGTAATCAAATTTTGAGCAAATAAGAGAATATATACCTTTTCTAGCAGTCGGAGGTGGCTCTAGCGCGACGGCAGACAGCGGTCTGCTCCCTTCTCCGGCGACTAGTTCTTTTTCTCTGGTGGGAGGCTAACGGCTAGGGTTTGGGTTCAGTGTGATGTGAGATATTTATACCCATCTCACGTTAATCTAGGTCATTCATCGCATTTAATCTCGACTATCCAATCACGTTTAAGAAGAAAATAAATCTAGACCGTTCATTGCAATTTGATCTCGACCATTCGATCGCGCTTAAAAAGGGAATAAATTTGGACCATTCATCACGTTTAATTGTGACCATCCGATCACGCCTAAAGAGAGAACGGATTTAGACTGTTCATGCGCGCGGGGACGCTTCCAGGCAGTCCAATCACGGGGTATGTGGATCGCCAGCGTGGCCTCCCGCGTGACACTGAGTCAGTG